GCTGTGTGACGCAGCTTTTCTCAGCTTGTTTAACTCCGACACTGAAGAGGAGGACTTCGATGGTTTCAGTGCGCCGGAGGACGATGAATGAGACRTTTTGTTGGACCAGAAACTGTTAAAGAAAACTACCAAAATAAGGTCAGTTAAATGAACCGTATTCCTCTGAACTTTAATTGCTAAAGGTTTGCTTTTTATGTTTTGATGATGAATTCACTTTTTTGACGACAAATTTGCGGCTTAAATGTTAATGTTCGCGGGTTTTTTTTTAAATGGTGGGTGCAGCTTATAGTCCGAAAAATACGGTATGTTATGTTTATATTCAACAATTAGCAAAGTGTGCAAATTGATTTTAAGTTAATTCTAGTTGTTCTGTTTGAGACCAAATGCTAATGCTATGCTAATGCTAACTTTAAGAGTGTAGCATTTTTAGCAAATTTTATATGAAAATGAAGCATGTTTTTTTTTATTTGGTAAAGGAAATCAGATCAATAATTAATTTTGATTAAAAAAAAAAGAAACTTTACTTTTAACTTTAAACTCCGGCTGCTTCCTGAAATACACAAAAACCAGACGGCTTTTTATATTTAAATTTAAATCAAAGTATCTGCGTCTGTACTGATATTTTTTGATTTTCTCCACCTGTGCTGTTTGGGTTGTAGAATAATGTTTTTAGAAGAGGTGTTAAGACTTTTTTGGACAATGCGAGGATGAGTCCGTGTTGAGGACCTCGATCATGGTTCTGATSGACGGGAAGGTCTCCGCTACAGACGGAAGACTTCGGTACCAACCTGGTAAACTGTGGAGGAGCACAGGGAGGTCAGATCAGGCCGCTGATTAAAGAAACAAAATCTTTTCTTTTTTTTCCTCCACCTTTTCAGGTTCATCCAGCTCTTGGCGGTTTTACTGAAGCTCTCTGGGTTTGGTGCTGTCATGGCCTCGAAGTCCACCAGCTGGAACCATTAAACACAAAGAAACCAGTTTAAACCAGGCTGCAGAGGCAGACCAACATTACTCTGTACAGGTTATTTACCTTTCCTTTTGGGATCCGACCAATCACCTCCTTC